CCAAGTTGTTCTCTGACCGCATCCATCGGAGTAGGAATGTGTGTGTGAATGCTAGATAAAAAGCACTTAAGTATAGATGAGCTGCTTGTATGAACGAGTGAATGAGGCTTGTTGTATTACATGGTTTGAGGGACTAAAATGTCAGCGAAATAGTCTACAGCCAAAACCTGATTTATATACTCAAATTTGAACAATCCTACTACCGTGTCATTTCCACTATTTCCACTATTATGTCATATCAGAGTGGGTGTTATATCACTGAGAATCCCCTACAAGTTGCAAGTACAAGCGTCTGTACTTCTTTAAGGTTCCTTGAAGATGTATCACTTCTCATCCGAGAAGCTTCTTCAGTTCTTCTGAGAGCAATTGGCAAAGTCTACGGATAAGTGTTTGGTTGACTCTTCATGGCCAAAGAAAAAGAAAAAGAAAGAGAAAGAGGGATGATAAAGGCAGGAATGAGGAAGGAGAATTAAATTGGTGCAGCAGGAAAAAAAATAGATGACAAGGTGCAGTTATATCATTTTAGAAAGTTTGCAGAATGATTAGACATTCAGGGAAGAAGAATGCTGTAGCTCTAACTGGTGGTACCTCACAGCTAACTGTTTTTTCAGGCACTCCCACAGTGTTCAATATGTCTCTGATGTGTGCAAAGTCATTTGGATGCATTATATTTCTGGCCTTTCCATTCCACCATTGTCCTTTTGAAATTCAAAACTAACTCTATCATAAGTTTGACTTTTCTGTGTTGCTGCACTGAATTACTGTAGGTAATTTCTGCAAAATCTTCTGTGTGCTACTGCTAGTTATTCAGTCTCTGCATAGCCTCCTGAATGATTAACATTTCATATTTGATGGCAATTTTCCCTCCATAATTAGTAAGAGGTGTAAAAGATAAGATAGCCACTTGCATGGAACAAAAAAACTAGCAGCTTCTTTGACATGGAACACAAGAATTAAATGCAGCCTCTAATTAATTACACCAGTAGTTTTCCTTTTATGAATTATGATAAAGCCCGTTGCTCTTATAAATAATTACTAATTTGTTAATGGTCTGTGTCAGTTTTACCTTCAGCTGAAAAAAAGAAACAGATTGAAATGAAACATTGATGTCATTTAGAGACTAAAGCTGATGCTGAGAGTGAATAATAGAGCAGCTGTTGAGACGTTTTGACAGCATTTGTAATTATAAATTCCTGATTAAGCCGACATTCGCTTTTCTATCAGACTACAGAGTTCTTTCATTAATATACTTGTAGTGGAAAAACTCCCAAAGATGATTTAACTCTTAAGGCCTGACCTAATTTGACACGCTGCAACTGTTCTACAACTTAAAAAAATGACATGGCCTAATTATGATTTATCTCATAATAATCTAGAACCAGTTAATGAAAAAAAAAATGAAATGCCGGCATTAAAGTAGATTTTTTTTTGTATCAAAGTGATTCAGTCATGGTTGTTAGTGTATCTAAAAGGACACAGAAAAAAGATCTATTGATTCAATAGAATTAGATTTTAAAATATAAACGACTGTGATTGAGTTATTGGATACAAACCCCTCTAATTTATTGAGCTCTCACTACATGTTGTGGCTTGAAAAAAGACTCACTAAAACATTTGAGAGTATGATGACCTATCTACTGCTTTGGCTCTACAATGGGTCACAACAGCAGTTTGCAGTCTATTTACAAGCTGTAGGAGCTTGTAAATAGTGCAAATAGTGAAACCCACATTAAATGTATCTACAGTATATTTTGCACTATTGATCTGCATTTCCTACACAATTATTTCTGCATGAGGGTTCCCCTCATGCAGAAATAACAGTGTATTAAGTAATCTGTATTAAGTAATCTGTTACATATTACCTATAAGCTTTTGAAAAAGTAATACAATAATTACTCCCTGCAGAAAGTACTTAAACGACTTTAACATGTCCTGAGATGCATTGTCTCTAGTTAACCTTTTATGGCTTAGCCTCTCATACATTTATTTTTACATTTTTTACATATCAACACAAATAAAAAGCCACAGTGATTCCACTATAGAATCATGGACAGGTACAAATGAGGTTGGCTTCCACTAGCTGATGTTCTGCTTGAGCATGGTTTAGGCTTTACAATAATATTGTTATCTTTTTCTGCTATAAAATTAAATGTCAATATCTCCAATGTTAAAAAGTTAAAGATAGAAATGGGGGGGGGAAGCAACATTTTTTTCTTGTTAAAATTATAGACTACAAAGAAAATATGCTGGAAATGAGCTACAAATGAAGCATGTGACTTGAATCTCTTTTGTACTATGAGCACGCCAGTGTGAATTTGGGTTAATAAAACTGTCACCGTCCTGGATTTTAATCCCAAAACCTTTGAGTTTCTATGAGATCTGAAATAATAACTTATTAATTATTATTATTATTAATTACGCTCCTAGCCTTTAATTATTGTTAATGATGAGGTTTTGACCCCTAATTAAATGTCATTAATATTCCAGACACTTGTTACTTGTTGTGTTTGAGTTGCAGTGACTGTTTTGGGTTTATGGAGTTTGAATGAGTTGCTGTTCTAGTGTTGGCTTTGAATCCTTGGTTTCAGTTCTTACAGTGGGGCAAAAAAGTATTTAGTCAGCCACCGATTGTGCAAGTTCCCCCACCTAAAATGATGACAGAGGTCAGTAATTTGCACCAGAGGTACACTTCAACTGTGAGAGACAGAATGTGAAAGAAAAATCCATGAATCCACATGGTAGGATTTGTAAAGAATTTATTCGTAAATCAGGGTGGAAAATAAGTATTTGGTCAATAACAAAAATACAACTAAATACTTTGTAACATAACCTTTGTTGGCAATAACAGAGGTCAAACGTTTACTATAGGTCTTTACCAGGTTTGCACACACAGTAGCTGGTATTTTGGCCCATTCCTCCATGCAGATCTTCTCGAGAGCAGTGATGTTTTGGGGCTGTCGCCGAGCAACACGGACTTTCAACTCCCGCCACAGATTTTCTATGGGGTTGAGGTCTGGAGACTGGCTAGGCCACTCCAGGACTTTCAAATGCTTCTTACGGAGCCACTCCTTTGTTGCCCGGGCGGTGTGTTTTGGATCATTGTCATGTTGGAAGACCCAGCCTCGTTTCATCTTCAAAGTTCTCACTGATGGAAGGAGGTTTTGGCTCAAAATCTCACGATACATGGCCCCATTCATTCTGTCCTTAACACGGATCAGTCGTCCTGTCCCCTTGGCAGAAAAACAGCCCCATAGCATGATGTTTCCACCCCCATGCTTCACAGTAGGTATGGTGTTCTTGGGATGCAACTCAGTATTCTTCTTCCTCCAAACACGACGAGTTGAGTTTATACCAAAAAGTTCTACTTTGGTTTCATCTGACCACATGACATTCTCCCAATCCTCTGCTGTATCATCCATGTGCTCTCTGGCAAACTTCAGACGGGCCTGGACATGCACTGGTTTCAGCAGCGGAACACGTCTGGCACTGCGGGATGTGATTCCCTGCCGTTGTAGTGTGTTACTGATGGTGACCTTTGTTACTTTGGTCCCAGCTCTCTGCAGGTCATTCACCAGGTCCCCCCGTGTGGTTCTGGGATCTTTGCTCACCGTTCTCATGATCATTTTGACCCCACGGGATGAGATCTTGCGTGGAGCCCCAGATCGAGGGAGATTATCAGTGGTCTTGTATGTCTTCCATTTTCTGATGATTGCTCCCACAGTTGATTTTTTCACACCAAGCTGCTTGCCTATTGTAGATTCACTCTTCCCCGTCTGGTGCAGGTCTACAATACTTTTCCTGGTGTCCTTCAAAAGCTCTTTGGTCTTGGCCATGGCGGAGTTTGGAGTCTGACTGTTTGAGGCTGTGGACAGGTGTCTTTTATACAGATGATGAGTTCAAACAGGTGCCATTCATACAGGTAACGAGTGGGGGACAGAAAAGCTTCTTACAGGAGACGTTACAGGTCTGTGAGGGCCAGAGATTTTCCTTGTTTGAGGTGACCAAATACTTATTTTCCACCCTAATTTACGAATAAATTCTTTACAAATCCTACCATGTGAATTCATGGATTTTTCTTTCATATTCTGTCTCTCACAGTTGAAGTGTACCTCTGGTGCAAATTACTGACCTCTGTCATCATTTTAGGTGGGGGAACTTGCACAATCGGTGGCTGACTAAATACTTTTTTGCCCCACTGTATTTTAACTTTGGATCTGAGGAGAAAAGCAATTAACTTGTAGTTTATTTTTGGGATTTGGTAATCTGGAAATTAGCAAGGCAGTGCAGTCATAAATTAAACTAAGCCTTTGTTTGTAATCAATTCCAACATGGAATTATATCTAATTATTTCTATAATAACTTTATGAAAATGACTAGAGGTAAAATGGATCTAAAGTAGGTAACAGAATAATTGAAATATCCGTTTTCCCTGATGAAGCTCAGTTGGTAGAATGGTCGCCCCATGATCGGAAGTTTGGATGTTCAAATCCACTGAACGGCTACCCTGAGGTACCCCTGAGCAAGGTACCGTCCCTACACACTGCTCCCTGGGCGCCTGCTTAGTGGCTGCCCACTGCTTCACTGAGTGAATGGGTCAAATGCAGAGAAAGTAATTTCCCCACGAGGATGAATAAAGTATACATTATAATTATTATTATTATTATTATTATTATTATTATTATTATTATTATTATTAAGAAAGGACAAAAATGCACCAGTAACACAAATGACAATTTTTTTCTATTCAAATCTCAATTCATGGGCCTTTATGTCATCTATTCTCTACATACACTATTTCTCTCTCCAACAAGCTAATAAATTATACCCAAATAACTATATGATTTTCAGTTCAACAGCAGCTGCAAGTAGACTGGACCAGGGAGGCAACTGTGAGATGATCTGAAATAACCTGTTTTTGACTGGGGAAAAAAATCGTTAAAAAATATCAGTTTCTTTTTAACTTTTACTACACCTTCTGTCTACTTTGTGACCACAACCAGATACACCAAGATGAACACTGCCACAAATATCTACATCTTCAATCTAGCTCTTGCCGATGCCTTGGCCACCAGCACGCTGCCCTTCCAGAGCGCCAAATACCTCATGAACACCTGGCCATTTGGGGATGTCCTCTGCAAGCTCATTATTGCCATCGACTACTACAACATGTTCACAAGTATCTTCACCCTCACAATGATGAGTGTAGATCGCTACATCGCCGTGTGCCACCCAGTCAGGGCGCTGGAGTTTCGGACGCCTGTCAAGGCCAAGTTGATCAACATACTCATCTGGGTCCTGTCCTCGGCAATTGGTGTGCCTGTCATGATCATGGCTGTGACCAAAGTGGCAGACAATGGTAAGACTGCAAGTCCATGTTCTTTACCTCTTGGTAATATTTTAAGATGATTTCTGAATTAATTTATATTGTTTCAAAAATAAGGCTGAATATGTATGGTTACTGAGTGCTGGTTGTCGTAGTGGAGAACAAAGGTAATTCTGCATTCATTTGAATAATTTGCATCTATCAGGCAAACCTTGTGGTCCTTTAGTTGGAAATGAAACTGTACACAAGGAAATGCAACAATAGCGGCAACTGATTCTGAATCAATACTCTGAACTGTCCATTGTGTATTCTAAGAGCAAGGAGAAGAGCCTCTGAAGCATCTACACTACTTGATACAAAAACTGTCTAATGAAACCTAAGGTAATATGTTCCAGGAGACAGATTCTGTAGTTGAGGGTAGGTCCTTTTGAACTGCTTTTCCAGATGTCTTCTTTTGTTTGGTGCCACAAAGTAAGTACAAGATTGCATGAGGATTACTCATTTTTCCAAATAAATGTATTTGGTAATGAAGTCACAGCCTTCTCTGATAACCTTTAGCACATCTTTGAAGGAACATAATGTAGAAAAAAAACAACTATGTATCGCTGAAATACTATTGCCGAAATATAGTTGCCGGTATAGGAGGTAGTGTGCCCTTTATTTAGCAAAGTGTGTAATCCTCAGTTGTGTAATCCTACTAGAGACTTCACAGTGTGTTCCAAAAATCACATATCTGCTGCCCAAGGCAATTAAAATTTTAAAAAGTAATCTAACAGACATTTAGCAGTGACAGCTGAGAAGTTGTGTCTGACAGGATGCATTGAAGTGATAAGTTTAAGGTAGTTTAAGGTGTTTTAAGTGTGACGTCATTAGCCGTGTCTGGGCCCAAACTCCGCTGCAGGTCCATAAGCCAAACGATCACTGCGGCATCACTGAGAGTTGAAAACTGTTTAAATTCTTTCATCTGTAATAAAATAATCATTGTGGCTGCTCTACCAGATGTAACAATTAAGTTTAGCATCCAGACATCCATGAAAACGGAATTTATTAAACTTAACGGAGTTAGAAGTTAGCAAGGAGTTAGGTCACTAATTTCCATCTAAATATAATATAGCCCGTCCTGACTGAGAAATTTCTAAAACAAATTAAGACGTACAGCTCTGCTATCACTTCCGACATAAATGAAGACAGGAAAGTAAACAGCAGTGGCGTTTGTAGGGTTACTTTAGTTTGGCTAGCTGATATATAACGATGTGCTACGTGATCGCTAGCGACATAGCTATGTTAGCTTAATATAAACAGTGAAGGTGGAGGATGAATGCTAACTTTTTTCCACTCAATAAATGTTAACGTGAGGGTGGGAGAACAACCGAGATAATCCATCCACAATACGAGGTTAGTCATTAATATACTGCTGCATTGGCTGGGCCGTAGTTACATCGTAAGATTTTAAAAACTGAGCGTTAAAATGAACAGTGACAATAAACACCGAGAGAGGCCGACAGTGATCACTGCCTGTTTTTAGGGGCTTGTTGAGATTAAATAGAACAAGATACAAATCATTAAAACATGTTAAAAACACAACAGCCTTATTAAATGCAGAGTAGTTTGGGCCCTGAAGCAGGATTCATCAATTATAGACCGAATAATGTGTTCCTGAGGTGTTCAGAGCCCATTTTATATAAAGTGAAGAGCACTGGTCCTGACCAAGCATTAAGAATTGGCACTGAAAAGTAAAACACTTCCACTTTCCATATGAGGAAGTTACATTTACATAGAGTGAATGAGCTACTCCAAATATGCACCTTGCTAACCCAAACTAAAGCAAGAAAAGCATAGAAAATATCATTAATGATTCTAACTTGTGATTTTGTAATATCTAATAATTACCACCAAAACAGTTTATTCTCCCACAGAATCAGCTAAATTGATTATACTAGTATTAATTGGAATTTTTCTTTTCTGTCTGAAGCTAATTTGGTATTTGTTCAGTTCGCTCTTGATGGCTTATAGACAATATGATAATGTCTGTGAATTCTCTGAAGATCAGTCTCTGCTTTGCCAAAGATTGTCCTCAGTGCCAAAAAGTAAGGACAATTAGGGATGAAGCATAACACATTTTATAGCCCTATAAAGTAAATACAAAATGTGGGTGGAGGAGACGCTTCCTCTCTCATCTAACACTCAGTCTTGCAACGAGCTGCCTGAAAATCAGTACATAAAATTACAGCTTAATCAGTTGTATTGTTAGAGTATAGCTGTTGGCCATTATCAGGTATGTCCCACTATGATGTGCAATAGAGTGATAATGAGGTGATCTTTTTATCAGACAGTTTGGAGAAACTGCTGTATCTCTGCACCCTAGCTGATGTTTCTGTGAAAGACTCAGAGGGGTGAAACAGAGTTACAGCAAATCCAGACTTTATCCTTGGGTCCACATCTTGTTTTATTTAGGCTCCTGTATGTGTTATTGGGTTTCTCACAGTCTGTAGCTACAGAGTTAGCAGCTCAAGGCTCACCTTGTTGTGTGCTAAAGTCATATAAAGTCACTGCTGATCCTTCAAACCACGCAGCAGACAGTCAACACATAGCTATTAGTGCTGCACAAAGACAAACATTGTAACAAATGCACCAGCTGTAACAAAGTTGTGCCATTTCAGCTTAAGCCTTCGTTTCACTTGGACATTCCTGTACAGCTTCTAACGCTGAAGACGGCGTCTCGTGTCATTTAAAGGGTTTAAATTGAGCAGACGCTTTGCAAGCAGCTGAGCGTACACAGCAGTGAGGAGTTGATTGGGAGATTTTGTCTCTGATTAGGAGGAAATGTCTACCGCTGCCATTGGATGTACAGTTTGTGTTTACCATGGTCAGCGTCGCGAGTGGCGAGATCATTTAAAAGTAGTTGAATCTTCACAAAAAACCTAGCAACGTGAGCATTGCTCTCATTTTCAAAGAAATACCTTTCTTTGCTTTGTTGAAGACCTCTTTTCACTTTGTTAATACATAATTAGACTGCTTGACCGTGAAGGTGTTGACGTTACAGCTTTATTGATTTTCATAATTTAATATAATTTAAATTCCCCTTTGTTTTTATTTTGATTCAGTGTTGCTGCAAATCAGACATGCATGCCAATGAATAAAACTGGAAATAGTTGAGTCTAGGCTTAAATTTGGTTGATCCTGACTTAAAACCTATTCTATACACTGCTCTTGACAAAGATCAACTGAAGACTACCATGCCAGAAAACTTTGAAAAGATTGCGAAAGTCTGCCACCCTCTTACAGCTAAAAACAATATGTTATTATCAGTCAATGTTTTCAGATATAACCTATTAGATTTCTCAAAGATGGGGGCTCTTTGCAGGGTCGCTGATTGCAAGACTACAACTAAACTCCCTTTCAGATTATTTTCCATCCTGCTCCAGGGAGAAACTGAAAAACTGTTGAACAGTGGAGCAGAAACATAAGGAGTTTTTGGCCACAGTCTCCCTCGTGTGTGCAATGTTCTATTCTGTTCAGACAAAAACGGGTTAAAAGAACAAAAAGAGGAAGATGCTGCAGAATGTGAACATGAGGCTGAGAGAACAGAGAGTTCAACTCAATCAGTCAGTCGATCGATATGTTCAGTCCTGTTCCCTCTCCGGGGATGCAAAAGTGCAGTGATCAGCCTAACAGCAAGGAAACGTGAAATGTGCAAGTAGTGACTAATCTTTCAAAAAATTAAAATATAAAGAGTGAAGGGATTATACAGTAGTGTATTCATTGTGATGGTTGAAAAGACAAACTATAAAAATAACTGGGTGCACATGCATAAAATGTGTGTATAAATTCAGTGATGCAGGTCTGTACTGGGATGATATTAAAGTTTGAGTTGCCCACACAAGTAAAATCCAGCTGTAAGTTTACCTAACCTTATTTTCTATAAGTGTGTGCCTAAAGTTACACGTAAATTACATGTCACTACATGTGTAATTGCTTCTATAACTTTTGAAAAGTTATTAGCTTTTGCTTTATTCTCTCTTCTTCAGCACTTTAGGGGACTTTTTATCTCTTATTGTGTGAACAGTTGAGTGCAACATTATGAAACCTTCCATGACAGACTGTCTGAATTTAAAAGTCTGCACTACACACGAAAGGTTCTTGATCTTGTACCACAGCCTTCACTGCAGTTTTTTGGATTTGAATCCTGTGGTTTTTGCTCTGATCTTTCACAGATGTTAATTAACATCAGCCCTATTTTGTCTAACGCCATCAAAATGTAACTGTTCTTTTTTTTTTCAGGTAAAACCACTTGCATGTTAAAGTTTCCTGAGCCTGACTGGTATTGGGACACGGTGACAAAGATCTGCGTCTTCATCTTTGCTTTTGTGGGGCCTGTGATGGTCATCACCATATGCTATGGTCTGATGATCCTGCGTCTGAGGAGTGTTCGTCTGCTCTCAGGCTCCAAGGAGAAAGACCGCAACATGCGCCGCATTACCCGCATGGTCCTGGTGGTGGTGGCGGCCTTTATCATCTGCTGGACCCCCATTCACATATTCATCATTGTGAAGACCATGATAGAAATTGACAGCAGGAATCCCTTTGTGATAGCTAGCTGGCATCTGTGCATCGCTTTGGGGTATACCAACAGTAGCCTCAATCCTGTCCTCTATGCATTTTTGGATGAAAATTTCAAGCGATGCTTCAGGGATTTCTGCCTCCCCTGTCGGACCCGTGTGGAGCAAAACAGTCTGACCAGAGGCCACAACACCACCAGGGAGCCAGTGTCCATCTGTGCTCCAACAGAAGCAGGAAAGAAGCCGGCATGACTAGGCATGGACCGGGTCCCCCATTGCTCTCGTTCAAGGAGGATCCAACAAGATCTCCAATCAGAAGTCACCCAGATCTCCACAACAGAGTTTTAAGAGATATTTTCAAAGGAAGAGTTGACATAGGCAAATCTTGTTTTATTCTCTCTAATTTGGCTGTCAAACGAGACATTCAAATGAATAATTAAAGGTAATGGAAAACAAGTTCCACTTTCTATTAAAGTTCTTACTGTCCCCCCTCAAAGTGATGCCTTACAGAGGCACTGAGAGTAGAATGATATTGATGGCCTAAAATGTTTTATCAAGATAATGAAACAGTTCATAATTTAGGGATCGAAAGCTGAACTTTCTGATGACGCAAAAAGGGCAAAGAAATCCCTGAAGGAGTCTGTCTCAAAAAATGTCATTCATATGGCATTTATCTTGGTACTATAATCGAGCAGAGAATGACTGATGTACAAAAAGCCAAAAGTTTAAAACAATGGCCTTTTCAAATCCGACTTTGCCATTTCATCAGAGACATCTGATGTGGATTAAAAAACTGAAAAGTAAGAATTTTGGAGATTAACTCTTTCCATTTGTACATTTAACATCATCTCATAATAAGTGAGCCTTACAGAGGAGAATCACACAACTCTTGCCCACCGACAGCTGGATGATGAATTACAGTGTAGTTTGTTGCACAATGGCAGCAACTCTCTACATGGAGAAGCAGGGAATTCTTGTTTGGTATTCCGTGTGATTCAACCACCCTTTGGGTATTTTTTTGTATTTTTCTTTGTTTTAAAAAGAGACACGTGGTGTGTGCTGAAAGACAATTTTGGACTCAGTGGATTTGAAAAAGGTCTGTCATAACAGATGTAGAATCAGAATGGAGCCCACTCTATGGGGTTTGTGCTTAGAAAAAGACAGAATAGCATCAAACCACTTGTGTTTGGATTTCCGTGGGCTTCTTCTCTGCTTACCTACTTGACTTTCTGTAGTGGTGTCAAGCGCACAGAAAGCCTCTGAGCAGAATCACTAAAGGAGGATAAACCTGCCAGTGGAAGAACACTGTCGGCAGCCACAACACTTCACTCATTGTATTGGTCTATTGTTCTGACTGAGACTGGCTTTATCTCATTTTCTAGACTTCCATCCTGATGTCAAACTAACTGCTCCAAGGGTTATTAAGATTATTGATCATTTTTAAATTAGAAAACTGTTACACTGAATATCTGTAGCACATTTAAGACAAGTAAGATGGCATTAGCCAGAGCTAAATCATTCGTGGTGATTTATGTGCTATGACGGGACTCGACATGAATCAAACTCCGTCAGTGTGAAGGTAATGATCATTTCAGCTTTGCATACACAAAGAGTTGTGTTAGAGATAATAATCTGAGTTTATATGAATTTGCTCTCATGTGGAAATATTTCCGAGACAGTCACGGTCACACTGGTGAGTGCTGAAATGCATAGTTGACTAAATGAGGTTAATGTAGCAGTAAAAACACATCGGAGCAGACTGTGAATGAAAAGATAGTAGAAAATGAATCAAAAATGTAAATTTGTACATAATGTTTAGCTTTTACATTACAACACATTTGGCTTCAGTCACAGATAAAATGACCACAAGGTACGTCTGTGGTTCTGTATTTTTCCTTTACGCTTTGCTTATATTGACATTTGATAATTCTTGATATTTCATCACCTTGCTTTTGATCTATGTGGCTCTAAAATATTTAAGAAAAAAAAGCAAAAAAGAAAGAGAAGCAAAATAAGTGTTTACAGTTTGTTTGGATATGAGTTTGTGTTCCGTTTACAGATTCAGCAATTTCCCTTTGGACTGGCTGTGGACTTCCCCACAGAGATATGGTCAGAAGAGAAAAACAAACATACAAACAAAAAATCTGTTTGCAGCAGGATATTGATACTTTTTGTAGTGTATGTTTTCTTACAGTGATAATGTGTGATATAAAGTGTAATGTGGTGTATATACCTGCTCTGCTTAGCTCTAAGTGCCAAATCTGTCAGGTGTGCAGAATACATCTGAGCTGCTGTTATCTTTGCAAAATCAAACGATATCTGGCTGGAATGTACAGACGTAGCTATCCCAAAGGATGACAAGAGTGTGTAAATTTCTTTTTTGACTAAATTAGCAATTACTACAAAAAGCAAAGCATGAATCATGTGAATTCAGGGTATGAATAAGTAAAATGTATGTGCATGATTTACACTGTACAACCAGGATTAGCCCTGCTTATGAGGCTTTGTCATTCTTTTACACTCAGATACTTTCCATAGCTCGATACAGAGAGCTACAAAAGGAATTGTATTTTCTCTGTGTGAGTCCAAACCTGAAAAATAAGTAATATACTACCACCATCTTTATTTGTCCATTCTAGTCATCTAATATTGCTTCAATGGATGTGGAGGCTTAAAGCTTTACCAGGGAGATGGTGCTCAGGCAGTTGAGCTGAACATCTGACCACTTTGATAAACGATGAAGGCATAGAGCCAGGCTTTTTTTGTCTTAGCTGGCCTGAAAAAATACCTTTAAAAGCTTAAAATACCGGCTATCACAAAAGCGGCTATCAACTTTCTTTGATAAGCCAACCTTCAGGGTCTGTGCACACTCTCATAAAAAGGGGCGTGTCAAGGGCATACCAGTAGAATTGTGGAATGACAGAGACTGGGAGCATATAGTACACATAAGCATACACAGTCGCAAAAAATGACGTGGTATTCGCAGAGACCTGTGTCTACTGAGCAAATTTGGGGTCATTCGCTCAACCAACAGTCACTGCAGTGCATGGCGCTTTCTATGTGAAAGGGCCATCACAGAACATGTGACTGTTTTTCTGCACAAAGTCCCAACTTACTCCAGTAAGAGACATTATTAAATAATGATGATAAAATGGTGATAAAACTCCTTAATTAGTATACAAAATATAACAGCACAATGCAACCCAAGTCCAAATATAACTCAAGTTCTAATGCAGCTGAAAATTATTAAAATTATTAAAAATATTGGGGTTTAGCTCAAGAGTAGTAGCGTATTTGTTAATTATGTTTACACTGCAGGTAATTTCTAATGTCACAACTGCACATTAGAGCTCTTTAAAATCGATACATCTGAACATTAAATGTTACTGTTCCATAGCCTACTATAAGTAGACATGGAAATTACTTTGGTTTAGTTCACAGTATTTACTTTTGTTGATTTAATAGGTCATCTTAGTTATAACAAAAGCTCTTTTTAATGTTCTAATCTGTGTTTTAGTAGCTACAACTCCAGCAGTGTAAAAGTCAAATAAAACAGCAGCAGATTAGAGCCAAGGATAAAAACCTTTGTAGAGTTTTTGCATCACCAACTGACAATACGACACAGTTTGTATCTTGAATAGAATAGAATTGTCATTGTACATGTACAATGGCACTGTGGGTGCTCCACATCAACTGTGCAGGACATATAAGTAGTGACACAACAGGAATAAATAACAAACAAGAAGAATATGTGCAAAATAAGAGGAACAGCAGGGTTTCATTCAGGGGTTTTAGCTGCATATATACAAGAAGTTACAAATATAAACCATATTGCTACAGCTGGAATCGTATAGCTATATAACACTAGCAATATGCTGTGAATAATAGGAACATTGTAACACAGAAAACACTGACCTCAAGCTCCACACGGTTTGCTAACCCATTAATCTCTTTGCCATTAGCCCTGTAAACCAATCAACTTAGTCTATTTTAGGTGCAAAGCAATATTTATTATTTGTTGCCTTTCAGAATAAATACTACTTTTATTTTTGGAAGATTAAGTCAGAAACATTAAATCCTTATTTTGGCACAAAAAGAAACATTTCTGTCCTAAACCACGCCTCCTGGAGCTTCAGGACTCCAAAACTTGAACATGATAGGTCGTGCCGGGCTATGATTCCAGAAAATTATGAGTCTTTTTTGTAATGGAAGGCACTGAAACAATATCCTGTTAATAGTCAAAAGGAAGCCTAAATTCTCCAGAGAGGAATTACACAGAAGTGTGTCCTGTGTTAGATGAAATAGGGTTGGCTACACAGCTTCTTTGGTATGTGGAATTTGGTATTCCCAAATGTAAATTTTAATACAGAAAAGCTGTGTGGCCAAAGATGTAATTTCAAAGATGACAAAAGGGTAAGCGATCCCTGCCTCTAAGTTATTCTCATATAACCTGCTGGGCTACTGATTAAAATCAGCAAAAAAGACTACACTAAGAGTATTTTTACATTGATTAATCAACTTTCAGAACTTTAACCACAGAAAACAGACTTGTCAGACTTTTATGTTCAGTGCACTGTCTTTGATCCATTGGTTTACTTTGGTATTATACGGAAACTGCGTGGAAATGCCCATTACATATGGATATTTCCACATCTCCAACATTTTTTTTTTTTTAAAGTTTGATTCTCGAACAAAATTCCCTTGCAAATACAAATTTTAGTAATCATTAAGTTACATACAGTGTTGTGACACATGAAACTAAAGCAAACTGAGAATGTGACGCAGTGTGCTTTCACTGTTGGAATATGAAATTAACATAATACATGCAATCTAAATCACCATTTAATCTTCAGTCTTTTGTAAAATTATATTGCTGTTAATGATCGCAGTATGTGTGATAAAGTCCATGCAAAGATTCGCTCAGATTGGCACCGTGTTAAGGAGATACAGACATATATACATAAATATACTATGATGATCACGGCTATGCAGCAATCTAAAGCTTTTAAGCTTCACGGATATTTCTGTGACTTTCGGTAGTACGATCTATGTTGTCATAGTAATTTATCATGAGCAATTTAATAATTCCAGCTTAACTGGTTAAATTGCAATGATCAGTTCAATTCACCAAATCACAACAACAGTAGCCTAAAGGCGCTTTATATTGTACAAACAATAAACAACGTCGTTTGAGCAAGCATTTGGCAACAGTGGGAAAGAAAAACTCCCTTTTACCAGGAAGAAACCTCTGGCAGAAGCAGGATGAGGGAGAGGGAGATGAGAGGAAGACAGGATAAAAGATGCGCTGTGGAAGAGAGCCAGAGATTAATAATAACTCGTAATTAAATGCATTAGCAGTTCACTCCTGATACAGAAGATAATCAATAGGGAGCCTTGTAAGATGTGAAATATTAGTAAATGCTATTACTGATTTATTGTTCAGAACAGTTCATCTGATTCATTTCTTACTCTTCTGTCAGGTTCTATAAATTTTTTGCACACCTGTCATTTACATTGTATCAGTATTGTTAGCTACTTTGACACTTTTGACATTGATACACTACAGCTTAACACTGTAAACAGAATATTAAAGCAGCCTTTGTGAATTTAATAGATGTAGATTTGTGTTATATGCTAATCTGTTGATAACCACTGACTGCAATATCAAATGCAAGGCTAATCATATTTAACACTATACTGCTTCTTTTGCAGTGTTAACATATTTCTTGGCTTTTTGGTGCAAATGTTGTTTAAAACATTTATCGTGCAGCTAATGTGTTTCTAGCGTAACTTCAATTGTAGGCAAAAGTGAAGAAAACAAAATAAAGCTTTCAGTGAACTTTGTGAGCTTTTGGGGTTTTTTTTGTTTGTTTGTTTTTTGTTTTGGTTTCCTGGTAATGAGGAAAAGAGAGGGCATAATATTTCCTTTAAACTGATTTGTTTCATAATGGAACAATCCATCTTGCATGAACATGATTGAGGTTAACAGCTAAGAGTGCTTCTCTTTGGTCAGTCGTGGCAAAGTGCATTTCCACGGGTGCATGGATAAACACGCAAGAGGTGACCCAAGGCTCTTCTGAGTCCCCGAGTGTGCTGCTCACCGCCAGCAGGAAATTAAACACCCAACTTTGCAAATACATGTCAGCAGCTTGCAGTTGCCATGGAGACTGACAGTCACCCCAGCCAAAGAATACTCTAGTGAAAGAGCTGAAGAGTTTCAATTTAATGATGACTTTTTCCTTCTGTAGCAGCCACTCATCAATTACCCACAACAACAGAGACACCTCCCTGGTGATTAGCCAAGGGCTGACCGCTTTAACAAGCAAGGGGACGGCTCAAATCCCTGACCTAAGTATTCAAAAGAGTATTCTGACATGCAGGATAGCCTTCTGCCATTCTACTGTCAGAATAAAGACTCCTGAACTTGATGAACAATCCTGTTTATTTAAGATTACCACTGTAACTGTGTTTTGAGAGAAATATATTAGGCAGCTAAAATAAGTAATTATTATTTAAATAATAACATAATAAACTGGGACCTTTTTAAAAAGTGTGTCCATGAGGACATAAAGGATCTTTTCTCTACAATATACACTCTAACTCAACTAGATCATCATTTACATTTGTAATGGTTATGTTTAGAGATGTATAATAGTTTCCTTTGAATTAGGAAGAGTGATAAATGACTCATTTTACCAACAGTAATATTTATTTTATCAATATAAAACCTCAAAGTCAACAGCGTAGTAGCAATTCTGTAAGCTAATATAAGGCTGTGTACACTGTAAAAATTTCACTTGAGATATTGAAGATTCACTACCTCACATACCTTGTCCCTCAATGTAGTGTAAAAGTGAGTTTTAAATTGGTGCTATACAAGACTAAAGATATGTGAAGAATTCATAGTTTTCCACTAAAAAGTGTAAAACTGATGGGTGTGGTATAACGAGATGAGAGTGAGGGAAAAAAAAGATCACAACTTTAATATATTGGCTACTCTATATTGCCCCCCAGAATTTAATTTCAAAGCCCTCTCCCCTCATCCAAAATCCTGAATGATCTATCCCTATTGTATCTCAAAAAGGCTGCCTCAAAGTACCCTATTATCCTGATGGCGCTTCCAAAACTACAATAGAAGGCAGAGTGCTCAGACTGTTGAGCCTGGTTGGACATGGTGTGTCCATCCTTTTTAAGCCAGTCGGTGTGAAAAGCACAATTAACTTGCAACATACAGTGTGAGAGACAATATATTAAAATACATGACATTAAATATGCATCTAATTTCTCTTATTGTCTGTACTGCTAAAATTGTTTGTTATGCAGCAGATTTAATCACAAATGTTGAAGCCAATTGGCCTGGCCTAGTGCATGATGATCAAATGTATCAGGAGTGTAGCTTGAGCAACAGATTTGCAAATGTAAATTCAATATATTATATTTTCTTTCCATTCTTAAAACAATCTTAAAATGTATCCAGTTATAAATACAGGAGAGCTTGATGGCTATCTACTTGATGATAGGGGACACCCATGATGTCAGCCCTCTGTGCTGACTCGTTAACCTGACCCTGAGCCACGCCCCGGTTCATGTTGGAAGAACACATTATATATTTTATTATATTTATTTTTCTTCATTCACTACAAAATCAACAAATTCCTGGTCTGTCTTTCAAATCTGACGCTCCGAGTATCTTATTTCTTTTCTGTTTTTGTCTTTTTTTTGTCTTTTTTTTTTTTGCTGTAGTGAATCTCATCCCCAGGAAATGTATTGATTGAATACTAAGGCATATTTAAACTGTCGTGGTTCCTGGGTATGAAGTTTTTTTGTTCTTTGTTCTTGCTTAAAAGATTTTTTAACAGATTTTTCAGTGTTGTTGTAATTATGTTTTGGTTATGTGCTGCTGGTAGGTTTTTAATGGTAATCTAGTCCTCGAGTTTTATTAAATGTCTATGTCCAGTTCATGTTCTGCTTGGGGTATTTGTGTTTCCCTGCCTTCCCTGTGTGTTGTCTAGTCTCCGTCTCTGTATCTGTTGCTGCTGTGTCATCGTCTGATATGCATTCTGTTCAGTTGTTTAGCCTTGTGTCATTAGTTTAGCGGTATTCCCAAGTATCTCCCTTCATCCTTATTAACTCGTGTGTATTTAAATCCTTGATTTTCTTTGTTCTTTGACATGTAGTCGTCAAACATCCCCACATAGTTGTGTTCCCTGTAAGTTTTGTGGCATGCCCTTGACATGTACATTAGTAAGTTTCTGGCTCCAGAGTTACCTGGGTTTCATAGTAAAATGTTTTAAAGAGATTTCTGTTAAGTTTAAGTGTTGTCTCAAGTCCCGCACTTTGATCCACCTACAGGCTGAGGCAGCCTGCAAAGTAAATTAAAGGCTACATAAGTTTGAAAATATGCCAATACACCAAGAAGGGTCATTTCAGTGATGAAAAATACTTTTAATGGAAATAAATACAGTAATGCAATGTCTGTGACCTAATGGTGTTTTGAAATCAATATCAACAAATGAAAAGTGAGAGAGGCTGGGATGGACTTAACAGTATTTTAGGGCCCTAACGAAGCGGAATAAAAAATACATTACACATCAGCTTCACAACCCAGAGTGCTGAACTATAAAGGAAATGTGGAAGAGGGGACCCACCACCAGGTGTTTCTGTCAAAAATCTTTCAGCACTATGGACACCCAGCCCAAGACCAAGTGCCTAACAGTCATATTAAATAAAAACACTAACATTTATTCCAAAACCAAAAATGCTAAATCCACACACACGTACACCAAACAGTATTAAAAATTCTCAATAAGTCTGCCACCTGAGCTGTGTAGCGCCAGTTTTACCTTCAATAGCTGTAGCGCAACACTCCGTAATCACTCTGTGAAGGCCACTTCCCTCAGCTACAGCCCAAGCTCTGGGGGGGCTGTAGCTGAGGGGGTAGAGCAGGTCACCTACTGATTGGAAGGCTGGTGGTAGCAAGATACTAAGCCCAAGTTGCTCTCTGATGCATCGATCGGAGCATGAATGTTAGATACAGTCCATATATAAAAGCGTATCAAAAAAAAGTGCTTGTGTGAATGAGGCAAGTTGTGTAAAGCACTTTGAGTGCTGAGATAGAGTAGATAAGTGCTATATAGGAACCAGTCTGTTTATTTACTCTCAGAGAAAAGGCCACTGCAGGTTATACAGTTATACATACAGTGGGGCAAAAAAGTATTTAGTCAGCCACCGATTGTGCAAGTTCCCCCACTTAAAATGATGACAGAGGTCAGTAATTTGCACCAGAGGTACACTTCAACTGTGAGAGACAGAATGTGAAAAAAAAATCCATGAATCCACATGGTAGGATTTGTAAAGAATTTATTCGTAAATTAGGGTGGAAAATAAGTATTTGGTCACCTCAAACAAGGAAAATCTCTGGCTCTCACAGACCTGTAACGTCTTCTGTAAGAAGCTTTTCTGTCCCCCACTCGTTACCTGTATGAATGGCACCTGTTTGAACTCATCATCTGTATAAAAGACACCTGTCCACAGCCTCAAACAGTCAGACTCCAAACGCCGCCATGGCCAAGACCAAAGAGCTTTCGAAGGACACCAGGAAAAGTATTGTAGACCTGCACCAGACTGGGAAGAGTGAATCTACAATAGGCAAGCAGCTTGGTGTGAAAAAATCAACTGTGGGAGCAATCATCAGAAAATGGAAGACATACAAGACCACTGATAATCTCCCTCCATCTGGGGCTCCACGCAAGATCTCATCCCGTGGGGTCAAAATGATCATGAGAACGGTGAGCAAAGATCCCAGAACCACACGGGGGGACCTGGTGAATGACCTGCAGAGAGCTGGGACCAAAGTAACAAAGGTCACCATCAGTAACACACTACAACGGCAGGGAATCAAATCCCGCAGTGCCAGACGTGTTCCGCTGCTGAAGCCAGTGCACGTCCAGGCCCGTCTGAAGTTTGCCAGAGAGCACATGGATGATACAGCAGAGGATTGGGAGAATGTCATGTGGTCAGATGAAACCAAAGTATAACTTTTTGGTATAAACTCAACTCGTTGTGTTTGGAGGAAGAAGAATACTGAGTTGCATCCCAAGAACACCATACCTACTGTGAAGCATGGGGGTGGAAACATCATGCTATGGGGCTGTTTTTCTGCCAAGGGGACAGGACGACTGATCCGTGTTAAGGACAGAATGAATGGGGCCATGTATCGTGAGATTTTGAGCCAAAACCTCCTTCCATCAGTGAGAACTTTGAAGA